CACACACACACACACACACACACACACATACAACACACACACATACAACACACACACATACGCGCACACACTCACTCACACACACCCCTTCACCAGCGCCCGCGCACCTGGAACGAGCGGGCCTGATAGGACGCCATGTCAGCTTCCACCGCCGCCTCAAATGCGCCGTCCTTGCTGCAGGGCATGACGGGCCCCACAAACTCGTCCCCCAGAAACTTCCCCTCCTGGCTGCCTATGCCGCCGTCTGGGCGGCGCCAGATCTTGACGCCGCAGCCGTGCATTCGGCCCTGCACCCAGTCGCCGCGGTAGATGCTGCGGGGCGGCCGGGGGCGGTCACGCGCGTGCGTATGTATACGCGTGTGTGCGTGCGTGCGTGCGTGCGTGCGTGCGTGCGTGCGTGTGCGCGTGTGTGTGTGTGTGTGTGTGTGTGTGTGTGTGTGGAGAGAGGCTCGCGTCCGGATACACGCTGGCAGCGCGCAGGCGCGCATGCGTCCATGCTGCATGTCTGGAGAAATTGTGTCTGACCCGCCCGTCTTCTTTAGCAACGTGCACCGCAGCGCTTCCTCTTGAGGACCACACCAGGTGATGCCCCCCCTCCCCCCCCCCCCAAAAAACAACCGCGTGCTCACGTGCCGTCGGCCCAGACATACACTCCATAGCCGTCCATCAACCCCTGCTCGAACTGGCCCTCATACCTGCACGCATGCAAGCGGGTATGCAGGGGTAAAATGGCGAGTGCCTCAGAAAATCAGGCGGGGGGCGCGACAGGCGGGGGGGTGCACCGCAGCTGATCATCACCGAACGGCGGCACATGCGGCGCGCCTCACCTGTCCTTGCTTGGGAACTTCAGGACGCCGTGTGAATGCATCCTGCCGTTGTTTACGAGGCCATCATATCTGCAAGTACGCAATGTGGGCTCATAAATCCGGCAATTGAAGGCAGCAGCTATCCGCTCTCGCTCGCGATCTGGAGCTCACTCGGTGCCGTCCCGCCATTTCAGGGACTTCCATTGCAGTGAAGGTTGCTCGTTCTGCATGGCAGGTTCCCGCTCTTCCTGCTCGCGGCCGTGTGAAGTGTGCCGCCGCTACTGGGTGTACAGTACGCTGTATGCTTGTCAACGCCGGCTCAACTTATAAGTGTGCCACTGTTTGACGCGTATTCCATATGGCTTGTTTGAATGTGCAACGTTAACGCGCGGAACGCCTGGACTGATTATCATACTTGTGCGTTACAAGTGACCAACCTTGGCATGTGCCAGGCAGGTGACGCTAGGTGACGCGGTGGGGGTGGGTTTTGTTTGTCATGGGATGACGGCTGGAGTGAGGCAGCACATTGGAGTGGCAAGAGCTGTTGTGCTGCTGTTGCCTGGTGCTCACAGGGCTTTTGGAGCCGTGCCTGCGGCGCGAGGGTGGGGATTTCTTACGCTGCCGCCACTTTGCCGTGCAGTGAATGCCCGTGCGTGCCGCAAGGCAAGGGGTGAGGGAGCTGCTCAGTTTGCACCGGTGCTTTGTACTCTGACAGGCGCAGGCAGGGCCACTTGGAAGGACCCGCCCAAAGCAGTGTTGGTTTTGAGGTGTGACAAGAGCGAGGCGACAACACAAACACGCTTTTTCTTCTGTTGAAATCCAAGCTGGCCAGAAGGCAACGCTTTTACTTCCTTGCAGTGTGACCTGAAAATAGCACCGTAGGATGACGAAAGGTCAAGCAAGTCAAGTCTACTGGTGTACATTGATGCACACCCAGACCAAGTGGGAGAACAGGCCTAGCAGGTGCGTGATACAGCAAGGCGAGGGCGCTTGCGCAATGTGTCCGGCTGTGAGGCACCAGCAGCACAAATTCTCTGTCGACCCTTCACCGTGGCGCACCCATGTCATAGGTGGCTTGGCCAACCTATGAGACCCTTTGGCATTATTCTTCATTCACGCAGGACATGGAGGACTCGTGGTCAAACCGCCTCCTCTGCGTCTGCAGGCACTTGATGCACTCCTGCACCCGCGACGCGTTGCGCGACGCCCGCACGCAGTCACCGCACGCGCCCTTGGCCGCAGGGGGCGTCTCGGCGCTCTCGACACAGGCCAGGCACGCGTCCTTGGATGATGCGGGCATCAACTGCTCTGCAGCAGCCGAAGGCTCCCATTGCTTGAAGCAGTCGGCACAGCCGGCGTACGTTGCATTCGTGAAGTCGGCTTGCAGCGCGCACGTAAAGCAGCGCGACCGATCGGCAGCGTCGAGCCTGGTGTGGTGATTCCGGGGCGGGTTGTTCATGGGGAGCGGACCGAGGAGCGGCGCCGCGGCGAGCCTCCGGACAAGCATAATGAACTCCAGCCAGGTGCGCGGATATGACACCCTCAGGAGCATGTGTGAAGACTCGAGCTTCCCACTGAGCGCCTGCAATTTCAAGGGCCGCCCTAACGCAAGCCCATGAGCCCAGCCCCAGCTCAGAAAAGTGCCCATTGCGCAGGTGGTGCCTCGATTGCCCGGCGCCATACGTACGGCTCACCCTTCGAGCAAAGCGCAGCTGTTGCACTCGCTCTTTGTCCTCACAGATGAGCCAAAGCACGCGAGGCACTGCGCATTCACCGCGTTTGACTTGGCGGCGTTGGCGCAGACGTCGCAGGGCGTCCCCTCTGTGGGCGGCCAGCAAGCGGGCGCACTGCCTTGCAGCGGGTCTGCTGGAATGGAAGCTCTGATATTATCCACCGCCCTTGCTGCCGGCCTGCCGCCTGGCGCGTCTGGCTTGTCATCGGCGCAGTATTTAATTTTGTGAGAGGCCATGCACGCAAAGCAGCGCGGGGCGTTGGCGCCGGACTGCGCGCATGCGCTGCAGCCGCCGCGCGCGTTCGGGCCATGGCGGGAGACGCAGTCCAGGCAGGCGGGGATGTGTGCGGGGCTGACGGCGCTGTAGACGCAGAAGCTGCAGGGCAGCCCCTCCAGCAAACAGGCCACACACCTGTTGGCAGCAGTCGCAGTGGTGCAAGGCGCGCGCATTGGCGAAATGGCTGGCGTGCACCCCGCTGAACTTTTGCTTGTAGGGGGTTGTGCCAGGCATCATGGTCGCGGACGACTACCGGTGCTGAGGCGGGGGCACAGAACGACTGGTGTGTTGAAGGCGGAGTCCTGCAGTCGAGCTGGTGGCTGCTTTGTCCAGTCCCCACCACAGCAAAAGAGCCCTGAACCGACCGGCGCGGCCCAACTCACTGCTTCCTGCGGGCGGCATCGTTGATGTTGCCGCACAGCGCGCAGCCGCGCTGCGTCCGGTTCGCCCAAGGCATGAACAGGGCGCGCCCGATCTCGGGCGCTGCGCGTGCATCCAGGGCGCACGCGAGGCAGTCTGCAGGGTGCTCGCTGGCGAGGCATTCGCCGCAGGCGGTCGCTGGGATGCTGCCGCACACCGGGGGCAGGATAATGGTGCCGCTCGTCCACCCGTCACCTGCGGCGACACATTTGCAACAGAGTCAAATTCTGAATCAGAGGGTGCATTCTGAGGGTGAGCAATGTGGATTGAGCTCTTGTCTTCTCACAAACGGGTGACACACACCAAAAAGCAAGCCGTGCGTGCTTGCCAACGAACCTGGGCGAGCTCGCCCAGGGCACGCGCTTTGGGGACACTGACCCCCCCCCCCTGGGGTCCAAAATCGCTACTGCTGCAATCAACCACACGTGTCTGACCCGCCCTCCCCACCGGAGCCTGGGTAGTATGTCGGCTTTGCGGGATCTGCCACGCGCTTCAGGGAGCAGGTGCCGCTGGCCCACGCGTCCGTGCTCACGGGCGCCGGGGCGCCGAAGGGGGTGACGTCCTGCGGCCAGACAGTGCGGGAAGGCGCAGGGGCGGGATGCGTCAACAATGAATGGAAGGGGTGGTTGGGCCTGGGGCGTGCGCCCGTGCGTGGGCCCGGCTGCGGGGCTCTGCTGGCTGTTGAGGGAGCGGCTCCCCGGGGAGAGGGTCAGCGCGGGCTTGGGCAGCACGACCAACGTTTGCAGGCGCACGTGGCACCCTAGGTTGATGAGGTCTCCTCACACCTGGCAGCCATCTCCGTCATTCGGCAGGCGCCATGGCCCAAATGCCTGTGTTCCAGGCGTGGGGTGACGGCGGCGCGCAACGGAAGTACGGCGCGCGCGTCTTGGCCGCCTGACCAGCCGTGACGTCGGGGGTGGCCAGGCCAGCAGCCGTCCGAGCAGTTTGTCCACCCACACTACTTGCCCGTCTGCGGCTGCCCCTGCAGAAGGGGCCGCCCAGCTGTGCCGGCGGTTTCGTACAGCGATGGCGATGACATCACAATGACGTCACGCAGGCGCAGCTCACCACCATGGGGAGGTGCCGGTCGCGCTCGGCGAGGCCCTCAGTGTCCCCCTGCAGCGGCGGGTGACGCTTGACGTACGCCTTGCACCCCGCCCCGCAGCCGCCGGCGCGGCCGCACCAGTTGTACGCGTTGCAGCCGGGCAGCGCCGCGCAGGCGGCCGCGCAGTCCTCTACGGAGGTGACCGTAGGCGGCATGATGCCGCTGTACGAGACGGACGCGGTGTCGAGCACCAGCAGCTGGCCCTGCCGGCAGGGGGTGAGAGACAGGGAGGGGCGGGTTGCCGAACGCCTTGCTGATGAGTGCGCTGGGGCTGTGTGGCTGCGCAAGCCGCCGGGCATGGTACTGTGCAGGAGTTAGGGTTGTTGCCATTTGCGGGTTTATAGGGACGGGGCGGGGGCTGTTGTGCAGGGGAAGTGGCAGGCGGTACGGCGGGCGACACCGTAGGGCAGCCAGACCGGGGAGCTGCGTTCCTGGGGTGAGTAAAGGCGTCATGCCCTAGTTGCCATAACACAGCAGCGCTGCTGCAGTTGCAAGACTATGATTTGATAGGTGCATCCTGACACACCACACCTTGATGTTGCGCTGTTTTGAAGAGCTGAACGTGATGCCGCGCGCCGTAGCCGGCTGCGCCCAGACTGCGGTCGGATGACGACCCAAGCGATGTAGCGGGCCCTCGCTCAGCGCGCTGCATTATTCAAAATACGTTGAAGCGTATAATATCATGATACCTCGCGTCTGCGCGTTCAGCAAGCGAATGTCGCGCATTTTCAACACTCGGTGACAACCGGGCGCCCCCAGACCGTGTGTTGTGGATACCAACAACGTGATGATACACAGAGAGATCATTGCGACTGCGCAAGCCTGCACAGGCTGCAGTGCGTGGCAGGATCGCCTCTCCTGCCGCTCTGGTGGTGCGCGGGCGTCCAATATTGCATACATTTGAACGTGGTTGCTGCGGCTTGGCTGTGGCTGAATTTGTCTGTCACACTGGAGTTTTGTTTGAATGATTTTTGACCCCTTCTGTGCGGGCTCATTATTACGTAATAGTGTTTTCAGCCAGCAGCTTCTTGCCACACGTGACCAAACAGGCAAGCAATTGGCCAGGCCTAGTATGCAGTGCAGGCCAGGTATGACCGTAGCAGTGCAGGCTGACGCGACGGTCCTGATCCAGGTGCCACTACCAAGGGCGAGCCCAAGCGTGACCCAGGACTGGTCTGGCACTGGTGTGGTGGGGTCTTGGGCGCACCCCATGCCCAGTGCACTCATGCGAGCTTCGATGATGCTGTCTGCCACTTCGAATGCAGTGTTCCCCCATTGCTGCCTGTCCAACAGCGCAAGCACCGCAGGCAGTGACCTATTCATAGGATCCATGTAAGTTACTGTTGCGCTACGTGGATAGCTGAGGACTGTCAACAAAGGACCGCAGTGGTCCGCGGAGTGTGAGTATCACCTACTGGTACGTACTAGATGATGGTGAGTTGGGGGGTGCTCGAAGCTTCCGTACATAATGTTATCAAGCGGGGTCTCACACCGCCTACAATCGACAGCTGCTGCATGCCTTCACCACTGCAGCACTGCTGTGCGGACGCCAAGTGGTGAGCGCAGGTTGTGATGACCTGCGCGCTCTGTCTGGTGGCAAGGCATGTGCCAATCGTGTAAGGGTCTACCACACCTCCTGTGTCCTCCCAAGCACCCGCCGCTCTGCATGATTGGACTGTTGGCGGTGCCTGTCTGCCACCACCAACCCCCGAGGCACGCCCCCCGCCCTGCGCCCGACGGGCGGCCCCTACCACGTCAAGCAGAAGGAGCGCTGCGCCGCGTCATCATCGGGCCTGGCACGAGGCCAAGTCCAGGTTGCGTCACGCAGCGGGGCTGCCAAATGGGCTGTGCATGCAAGGCGCTCTTTGCGATGTGTTGGCCGGCCGTTGATGCCGCGCCCCTTTCTGCCCAGTGGAGGGCCGCTGCCACTGACTCATCTCGGCTGTTTGCTTGGTCCCCAGGTAGCACCGGCCCTACACCCTTTTTGAGCAGCACGTCGCCGCCCGCCGCCTGTTGCCCGCTGCTTTTGCTTTACTCGCACACAGGGGCCGCGAAGGCCGGCTGAGCGCAGAGCGTCGCCACATCAAAGCACGAGACGCCCCGCGCGTACAGTCTGCTTGCAGACCCCTTGGCCCACAGTTGAGGAGGAGTGTCTAGAGAACACCCATGTTGTTGTTGCAGTGACCGCCTTCAACCTGAGCTGCCAACCCCAGGGCTGGCAGCTCAGGGCCGGGAACACCCCTCGTCTCCACCCCAACATGGACACAGCCCCCGCGTACGATCTCATCACAGCTCACAGGCACGCACTGAGTGTGCGGTCAACCCCTGCAAGTCATCGCCTGCTTGCTTTACCCTTGCGCACGCCAAAACTCGCCGTGGATGCTGAATTGAGAGTCCAAGGTTGGTCGTCGTGCAAGAAAGGTCCAGGCGCCCCGGCGTCCCCAAAGCATGCAATGTCTTTCACGAGCACAGGCACGCGTTGTGGTGGCGGCTGGCGGTAGGGAAAAGTGTTGCAATCCAGCGAACGGCAGCGAACGGCAACACACGTCCCATTGCGAGTCTCGTTATTTTGCAGCAATTTGGAGCCGTCTAGTGGAATGCGGCGGCATGCTGGCAGGTTCCAACACAAATGTGAGGCAGTGGGGCTACCATGATTGGGCAGGGGCGAGAGAAACGGCAACCCCAGGCAGCAGCCAGGATGCCCAAATAACGAGCTAGCAGGGAAAGGGCGCGAAAGCATGGTGTGTGTCAAGGTACAATGTGCACGCCTGCAGCACGGTTGAAAGATGCAAGTGGCAAGCTGGGGCAGCGCCTGGCCATTCCCTGGAGAAAAGCCGGGTTGCCAGGATTGGGAGCCGCGGGGACGCGAGAAGGAAGGGCAGTGCAGAGTCCCTGCGCTTGCCGCCGCCCCGCGACGACGCGCTTCGCGGCGCGGCAGAGCGGGCGTGCCGCTGCGCTTTGTTGGAGGCGCGGCCGAGAGCCCAGGCTTGGAGGCGGAGGGGTGTGTTGAACCGCTGCAGGGTGAGAAGGATGGGCATCAGACACGCCGAGCGTGCTGGGCTTGCAGACTCGAACCCCTCGCAAATCAGAAAACAGACTCTTCCCTCGATAAAACGTATGGTAAGATAGTGCAGGCAGGAGTGGTTGGTGCGCCCGCCACAACTCATACGACCGGGCGCCACAGGCACTGTGAGCGTCAGCTGGGGGCGGCACACGGCGCGAGGGCCAGGCCAGGCGGGCGTGCGCGCGGGTAGAGGGGGGGGGGGTGCGGCTCCCGAACGGGGCGCGGCCCGGCGGAGGCGCCGTGCGCTGCGGGCGGCGCCTTCAAACCTGCGCGTTCGGACGCCTTGCGGCGCAGGGCCGGGGGCGGCCCCGTTACGAACAAACTTTGCAGTGTAGTTTTTCCAAGTGCCCGCCATTGCAGCCTGAGGCAGCCCCGCATTTGGCTGCGGGCCGGGGTGCCGCGGGGCCGGGCGTAGGGCGCTTGCGGTGCGCGGCGCGGTATGCTTGGGAGCCCAGAGTTTGCGTACGTGCATGGCGGCCGCGCAATAGCTGCGGCGCTAGCGACCCCGACAGTGACGGATTTCCAAATTTACGAACCGACGAACGGCAGCACGCCAGGCACCACAGCCGCGACGCGCGGCGGAGCGGCGGCCTTGGGTGGCGCGTGGAGGGGCCCTCGCTTGTTGGGCGGAGGCCTGCCGTGGCCCAAAGATTGTGTCGCTGCCTTCTTATCATAATATCAATGCTCAGCGGTGCCAGACGCCGACGCGTACGCCTGGCCTGCGCCGGCGTCTGCGTCGCCCTTGCTTGCAGTCGCCGTTCCCTCAGCTCCCCCCTTGGG